CTGGATCTAATTAGGACCAAGGTGGCAGTGATCCCGTCAACATCGCTTTGGCTCCTGCCATATGGACTGCCTCCAAGGCAACGCGGCGTAACCGTCTCCACAGAGCCGCACACGCACAAACACACAGACCACGGCTCGTAGCCACTCTTTGGACAAGTGTGCACAGCTCATATAAAGCAGGATAAACACGTCAGAACCAGAGGAGAGAAAAACCCTGATAAGGTGAAATGCAGTATAAATAAACTTGCTGTGCCTGATCCACATTTATTTAATGAAGAATTGAATAATTTCATGTATAATTTATTTGCTGTAGTTTTCCAAAGAAAACAGAAAAAAAATCTGGTTCATGAAAAAATCTGCTGTTCCTTCAGATGTATTTATACTGCACTAACCTTCAGGCATTTTACCCCGTTTTTAACCACAAACTTTAATTCTATGATGATTGTCTGTGAAAGAGAAAAATAAAAAACTAGGCCAAGATTGGAAAGTGAAAAGAAAACATTTCTGTCGGTGGGGGCGGGGTGTCCAGGTGTGGTACACCCTGGACCCATCCGTCACCGGGCAGAACGGAGGTACGCCAAACTGACGGCACATTCATCAAAAACAACAAAGATGGCAACATGTTAGACTTAGACTTAGACTTAGACTTAGACTTAGACTTCTTTATTTGTCATTTTGTATGCACAGGGTGCATACAGAACGAAATTGCGTTACATACAGCTTATGAACGTTGCATTGATATTTCACAATGGCACGAGTTATAGAAAAATACAAAAAGTGCAGCAGTGGTCAAAGTGTGAACAGTGCAGAGGATAAGAGACAGTGTGCAAGTTGCAGTGGTTCAGTGCAAAATGGCATTTGTGCAAAAAATGCGTTATTGAAAAATACAATGAGATGAACAATTTAAAGGGCTAAAAGTTAAAAGTTAAAAATGTTGTTGTGTGTGTTCTTATAGATACTGTGATCTGATCCCTGAAGTATATGGGGAGAAAAAACATCATGAAATTTGCTCATTTGAATGTAATCAATAAAAAAGTCAGCCAACTATGAAATAGGACATTTATTTATTTATTTATTCATTTTTTTATCTTTAGCATAATTAAAATAATAAAATGTTTTATGTAAATCTAGAATGAAGTGATCATAACTGTTTTTAAGGAGTTGCCAATATTATTATTCCAATGACAATACACCCACGAGCCGGACAAGGAGAGCGTTAACTAAATTAGTCAGAAGGCACAAGTTAACCCCAGTAGAGGTCAACCAGCAGAAGGAAACGTTTTATTTATACTATCAATACATTTGAAATTTATGGAAAAGTAGAAAGATGAAGGCGATAATTAAAAGAAAGACAGAAATCCTGTAAGAACATGGTGTCTGTAAAACAGATGAGGCCAAAACTAAAGCTTGAGATCACCCTGAACACACAGTGGGGGCATCATCATGCTGAGGGGGAATGTCTCAACAGGAAGAGGGAAGGAATGTTGATTTGTGCAGCTCTGCACAAAGATCTGTTAAAGGCCTCAAAAGACCTGAGAGTGAGCAGAAGAACACAGCCAGAGCTCAGACTGATGGGTTCAGATCAATCAAAGGATGCAGTTAGGGCTGCAACAACGAATCGATAAAATCGATAAAAATCGACTTTTAAAAGCGTTGGCAACGAATTTAATCATCGATTAGTTGTGTCGCGCGATTAATGCGTCATCCGCCGCCGCCGTCATCCAGGGGAAGAAAAAAAAATATGGCGGAGCGAGTCAGCGCCGCAGTTGCAGTGTTGCCAACTCAGCGACTTTTCAGACCCCTCCAGCGACTATTTTTCAAAAAAGCGACTAGCGACAAATCTGGCGTCTTTTTACGGTGTCACTGGCGGCTTTTGCCTGCCGTGGGACGCCTCCCCCATCCCAACGCCTTTCTCCCTCTCCCACAGGAATCCCTCAGCGCTGAGAGGGATTCCAGACTGCAAATGAAGCGCGCATGCGCCGGGATTGGCGGCGCAAATTGATCACAATAATTAAAATAGCCTGCGCTTTGTAAAGTGAAAAAAGTCGTAACATGCAACTTTTGTAAAAACAAATGACCATGGCGCGGAAGCACCACTGTTATGACGCAGCACCTGAAAAGAAAACACGTTGGAGCCTTCAATGGCAGTGAAGAGAGCTGATCAGCAGGATGAGCGACCATGTTTGTTTCATTTTAAAGAGGGGAAACGTAACGTTAGTTTCTCAGGTAGCTCATCCGATGCTTTCCTTACCGTGTTAGTAGGTTACAGACAGGGATAAGGTTGGCTACTTATTTTACTTTTAATTTCATTTGAATTAGTTTAAGCAGCGTTTATATTTTCTTTATAAATAAATTAACTTGCAAATTATGAAGGCAAGGCTTTTAAAGTTTAAATCTTCTGGCAAAAATAAAGTAAAGATCCTGCAATTTATGGAAGTAAAGCAGAACAAAATCCAGCAAGATCAGTAATATGTCAATTAATTATATGCCACATTCCCATGTAAATATCTGTCTTTGGAGGATGTGTTTTTTAGCACCCCTAGTTCTCTCATTTTTATTCCAAATACGATTTATAACTTGAATCACAGGGCTATTTTTATCTCTATGGTTCAGTATTTTCTCAAGTAGCAATTTTAACTGCTATACTTTCCTGTTTTAAAAGGCAGAACTCTTCTAGCCTAAAAAAAATGAATTTGTTGAAATGGGGGGACCTATTGTTTGAACCCCTTAGGGGCTTTAAAAAAAAAAATGCCTGTCTCTTTTTGCGCTTTATAAAACATGGTAGCCTATATTTTGTGGATGTTCAGCTACATTTCTCATGTAAGTTTGCGTAGTTTTAACACAAACATTTATTTTTCATATTGCACCAGTACAGTTAATGAGCAACCTGTACTTGTGTGCTTGTTTGTTCTGTCTAAAATGTTTATTTTGGAATAAAGAGGTTAGTATAAAAAATATTTTTTGTCCGATTCATCGATTAATCGAAAAAACAATCGGCCGATTCATCGATTTTTAAAATAATCGTTAGTTGCAGCCCTAGATGCAGTCAAATAAAAACATGGATAAGTAGTTTTTCTCTTTCACAATTATGCACAGCTTGGTGTTTTCCTATCACCTCCAATCCGAGTGGGAGGCAGGGAAATGAAAATTGTGTAAGGTTTCCTCGTATCTTTCCATCCTTCCCTTTAAACAGAAACAAAGGACACCAACTGACACAGAAACAATATAAACAGTACGGTCTGGAGAAGACAAGCGGAAGGCTGTGCTGATCATAGTTATTCCCTCAGAACAGAGCTTCCTATAACCAGACCAGCAGCAGCTCCCGCTACATCCTGATTTGGATCTGAAGCGCTTTAGGTACCTGGAAGTGGTTTATGACTTTGTTTAGATGCCTTTTCCCCTTCAGCTAATAAAAATCTCTGTCCCTGACATTTCATCCATAAACTGGTGATAGCAACAAGTTTATCATCTAAACACCAACATCCGGAGCATAAAGCCTTGAAGTTCAGCAGATTTTACACCATCTGGTTTTTAGTGGTTTTACTGGTGTTGGTTTATTTTAATGAGCTGGATTATGACTGGAAAATTAACACCTAAATAATCGACTTCCTTCAAACTGGACCTGATAGACCAGAACATCTGGGCTCCGATCGGAGCAGCCAACACAGATTTTTCCTTATCCCCAACCCTTACACCATTATCACCTGTTTATAACACGGTTTGGCTACAAAAGCTGGTAATGATCAGACATTCATAATTTATAAGTCTTCCAACAGCCTGCAATAAACAACTATTTGCACTGCAGGAGGTTTCAGCGAGACGTCCAGATAAGGAACCAATAAAATCTGCCAATATCTATGGATTGTCGACAGATAAGAGCTAAACTTTGCCTCCGTGTCGCAGTACAGCTCAGGGCAGTAACAAACAGAAATGATGTTATGTCTGCGACCTAAATCTCGTTGCGTAATCCCATGGGCGATGAGCATTTTATGTTGCAGTTCACAAACTAAACTAAACATCACAGAAGAAACATTCAAGAGCAATACTCTGAAATATACACTGCAGCGTTATTGAGGAAAAGTACCAACTCAAGGTGGACGAAAGGTGCAAATGCTGTGTAAATACATGATTTTACATCCAGTTCAAAAGGTCACGCAAACATCCGAAAAAATAGACCAGCAAAGAGAAGAGTGATGCCAACATACAAAACTAATGGCAAAGCAAAAATGCAGCGAAGGAGAAAGTAGAGATCAGCCAATTGGAAACTTACTGCAAACACAACACCTGCTACGAATACATGCATGATGTGAATTGTAGCTCCTTTCCTTCACCTTTTGCAAGGTCAACATTTAGAAATCTATCCAGGGAAGGGAAGGAAACCGGGCTGCTGCGTTAAATGCAGACAACCTTCAGTCGTACGGAGGTCATTACAGGACAAAAACACACATGGAAAAGGCTAGTTAAATGGGACTACAGGGCCAAAGTTAAACGTAGCATATGGCTAAAGTTTTCTGTGTGACACATGCTAATGTACACACCGTTTTATAACAGAGTACAGGTGAGGAAATAAAGTATTTTTGCCTAACTCTGTGAGGGAGGCTGTGAATGAAGCATTGTGGGAAACTGTGTAGCTCCCAGTGGCTGGAGGTGCCTCTTCCAGCCTCTTTTCTAACTCCCAGCCCTATTTGGATAGAACTTTTCATGTTGATGGCACTTTTGCATTGGCTTAAGCATCCTTACTAACTTCCCTGATTCAGATGGATCCTAAGAATAAATATCTATGGACAAAACCAACAGAAAAAATAAAATAAATGGAATGCCATTCAGAGAACATCTGGACGAAATAAAGAATAGTTGTGTTTGCTTTTTTCTTTTATCGTACGATCATGCATTACCACGTTATTTGCAACCCTAGGTAGCCATAAAAACTGCTCTTTGATTTTCAAGCCATACAGGGAAGCAGAGTGGACAGAGACTCCTCAGAGATATGTTTCTTTCTCTTACCTGGACATGCCTTCGGCGATGCAGTTCTGGCCTGAGAAGCCCTCATTCCTGGCGGACAGCGAACCCTGTGAAATCCCTGGCCGAGATTTCCAAGACTCCATTAACGCCGTTACGGGTGAAATTAGATTCAGCAGAGGGTTGGACGGGTCTCTCATGTCATGCCGTGTAAAGGACATTGTTCCTTGCGCTCCAATCTGGTAATGGAATGAGTGTCCCCCGGAATTAACTCCAACAATGGCGGAGGTGGACATGCTGTTATTCTCTTGGTAATAGCTGCCATCAGTGGGCTCCTGCTTGACCCCTTTAGACAGGACGCTGCTGGAGAAGAGGTCTGTCTCATAGCTCCCATTTACAGAGGAGACTGGGGGCCCTAAGATCCCAGAGAGACTGTACTCATCGATGTTATTTCTCAGGGACAAATAGGTGGTCTCGGATGCAGGGAAGAGACCAAGAGAAGGCGACGGCTCACCGTAGGGCTGTTGGTTCATGCAGCCCTCGTTTTTGTTTGGCTCACTCTTAATCTGTGTAATTAAAGGTGTGCTGCTCACATTACATTTGGAGCTGCCTAAACACATGCTCCTGAAGTCCGATTCAGGTTCATTCTTAATGTACTTAACCATGCCCATCTGGTCCAACCCAACACTGAATACCTCCCCGTCCACCATTTCTACTTTAGGGAACTCAAAGTCCTTGAAATCTGTGTCTCTGGTCATCCCTTCTGCTTCTGGACTGTTGGTGTCGTTCTGAACCAGACCGAGCCCGCCAGCCGGACTAGACACAGGGAAGCTGACAGACGAGGGGTTCTGAGGGCTGCTGGCAGCCATAGGGCCCCCTGAGGAGGGACTGGAGAGGGACAGCCTTGCTGTGTTACTGTTATTAGCAGTGGCAGTGCAGCTGCCACCCGTGGGGCTGGAAACAGACGACCTAATGTTGCATGTGGTGCTGCAGGATGGAGGGGATCTCACACTACTCATGCTATGCGGGCTGGACATGGGGGACCTCATAACATTAAGTGGACTGGTCAGTGGGGGTGATCCAACTGTGCTGGACTCCACAGGGCTACATGTGACTGAATTCCTGCATTTGATGTTGGCTAAAGTTGCAGCACACAACGTCTGGCTTCCAGGGCTGCTGACAGATGAGCATAGTGGTCCGAAGCATGTAGGGCTGGTTGTAGATGACACCATGTTGTTACTGCCTCCAGGGCTGGAAATGCAGCTGGAGGTTTGTGGACTGCAGGACAGGGAGGACGCCAGCATTGAGGCTGAGCCTGTTGAAGTCCCGGTGATGCATTCCCTGGGAGTGGCGCCTGGCTGTTGAAAACCAAATGGCTTCAAGTTTGGGCTCTTTTTGGAGCCGCACTGGTTCTCGTCCAGCGAGCGCCCACATCGCGGATAAGGTTTCCCTGGGCTTGTGCTGCCTCCATGATGGCTAAAAGCAAAGTCCGCCTCCCTGGCAGCGTTCATATACAGACCCATAGACTCAGCCACTGTCTTGGAAAGCTCCTTGGAGTCCATTTCCTGTTTCAGACCGTGCAGGGTGTTGTTGAAGTGTGGGAGAACAAACGGCTGGTTCTGGCCGAGCTGAAGCGCTGGCTGCTCCTGCTTCTCAGCATTATTGTCTTTGCTGTCTGCTGCCAGGCTTCCAGCAGAGCAGCTGACATTGACCACGTCCATTAGGATGTCGCTGCTAGTCAGGCTGGAGTCCTCAGTGCTGCAGGAGTACTCCATTGTGCTGGGGGCTTGAGACCATTTGTTCTCCGAGTCGTTCCCCTCAAAGAAACTTTTGTATCCTTTGGTCTCCATTTCTGGCTCATCGATTCACCTGGTAAACAAAAGAGAAATGAATCATGGGTATAAGATTATCTGCATAAACTAAGTCTGAATATACAGGATGAAGTTGATGTTAAACTCCCTAGAAGAAGTTAGCAGGTTAGTCCTGTACCCATTAGCCGTACTGAAAGGAGGGGTAAAACAGGAAAGTGTTTTTAGCAAGTTGCCTTAAATTAACTGCTATCATCCATTGGCTCTGTTTTGTTGACTGAAGGAAATTGTTTAACTCTGATATCCGTTTAAAAGGAGAAAGCTTATAAATCTCCACTTCTGCAACCTCAAAATCCAAAATGGCTGCTCTGTCTGTTAAAATATAGTGAAAGCTGATGGAGAAGAATGTACATCACAAAGACGATACAAAGAAATACAATATAATTAACTTTTGATGCTAATAGCAGCTAGCCGGGTCCCTGAACTAAACCAAGTCATCCAGCATGGACACTTGAGGCACCTTGTTGCTGCATTTTGAGAACAAGATGCTGTTTATTCGTTTTACAATAAAGTTTATTTGTTCATTTTTTCCACAAATAAAATAAGAATTTTGCTCAAATGTTGTTGACTGGGAGAAATCCAATGGGAAATATTAATAGAAAAAAAGATTGAAATAAATAGGTGTTTGGAGTTAAGTATTAGTTAAATAACCGACTTATGCGCAGCTGCCTGCTTTTGCTTTTGAGATGGCACTTTAAAGTAAGTTCTTAATTTTGTATTTATACTTGTCCAGGGCAGAATTGCTCCACTTAAAGAGGGAATCCTAACTGTGTGACTGACTTTATTAAATCAAGACTGGATCCAGTATCAAAGCAGGCCAGCTGCATGTTTGCACCAGTAACCAGTGTTTGTATGACCTTCAACTGACTAGATGTGTGTGTGTCAAATCCCCCCCAAAACACACACACGCCATCGTAGTGAGGACCATGTGTTGACTCCCATTGACTTCCATTGATTTTCAGTCATTGTCAACCCTTTCTATGCCGTAACCTTATAACTAACCCTAAACCTAACCATTACCAATGCATACCACCCCTAACCCTAACCGATTGTCACCTTAGCCCTAAACCTAACCATTACCAATGCATACAAGACCTAACCCTAACCGATTGTCACCTTAGCCCTAAACCTAACCATTACCAATGCATACAAGACCTAACCCTAACCGATTGTCACCTTAGCCCTAAACCTAACCATTACCAATGCATACAAGACCTAACCCTAACCCAATGACACCTTAGCCCTAAACCTAACCATTAGCAAAATAGCATGTGAGGACCAGCAAAATGTCCTCACTTTGCAACAACTGGTCCTCAATTTGATGGTGAAATTGGAAAAATGGTCCTCACTCTGAGAGCTAGACAGGTACACACACACACACAGCTGAGTCCAGTGTAATAAAATATTGGTGGAAGACTATGGAGTCAGTTTTGTTCCGTTATTGTTGCTTGCAAATAACGCCGTTTGTAAATGTTGTAAATGAAAGAAACAAATAAATAAATAAAACTGTCATCTAGATAGGAAACTTTGAACAACTTATTAAAACTTTTTTTCTGACTCAGCTGTGTCTCTAATTTATTTTTTCTCCAATTTTTTCACATCTTTAATTCATATTTTTATTATTTTCAAATTTCCCTTCTTAGATTAGGTTTAAAAAAGGTCATTCTTTTTAAACTGTATTTTCCAGATGACTTTCTTTTCATTTCAAGCTCAATACAAACGGTTAAAGCCCACAATGAAAATGTTTTTTCCTCACTTCAGAAGAAAGCGAAGAAAAAGATCAAACGCAATTTGGAAATAATCTAATTTGTAAAACTCAACCTGAAAAAAAACAACTGAAATTAGAAAAAAAATAAATTAAATTAGATGTTAAAATAATGTATCAAATATAAAAAGAAAATTAAATTATTTTTTTATTTTGTTATGAAATGCGCCTTAAGAACAGTTTAGCAAGGGAAAAAAACAAGGAGTGTCAGTTATTGGGTCTCCAGCAGGTGAAGCGCCTTATCGCAGCTGGAAGTGGGGGGGGGGAAAGAAAAAGTGCAAACTGAGGGTTAATTCATCGACGTGACGTCAGCAGATCCCCACCTCAGCTGCGCCCCTATTGGACAGCTGAGTCAGAAACCCATCAGCCTCATCGGGTCACGCAGGGATTGGACCGAAAGCTGTCACTCAATAGTTCTTGCTCCTGAGACCACAACATTGCTGCGACACAACTTCTACTGTAGTTTGCAGAACCGGAGCAGCTTTAAGACTTGGACCAAAATAATCCAACAATTTGGATAAAACTCTGCAGCAGCAGGGGCATAAAGCTGCAGATATTCTCCATGCAAACATTTAGGGTCAGGAAGACATTAATGGTTGAGTTAAACTACCCCCCCACCACCACCTCCACCATGCACCCACTCCCACTTTCATAAACATTAGTTAACTCTCATATCTGTAACAGTAAAACAGTGGATGAATAATCCTGCAGCTCTGGGACTTTCTGCGCATCGCTCCATTTGGGCGATGCGCAGAAAAGAAAACGAAATTTAACTGTTTATTCTGTAGCATCTTAAATTAATTTTGTGCTTTTGCAACTATGTGATAAATAAATAAACAATAAAATTATATTGTTATTGTTAAATTAGAAATGTCCAACAACCTTCAAACAAATCAATGCAAAAAAAACGATTTAAAAATACTCCTCTATAAAAGATAAAGAAGCTTAAACTTCTTGTATAGTTTTTTTTATTTATCATTATTATGGAGCAGATGGAAAGGAAAGCTTCTGCCCGGATGAAAGTTAGTAGATTTCTCTCTCTCGATAATCCGACCTGGGATGCAGGACTTTAAACATCCGAGCAAACAGCGAGCTTGTTCCCGCAGCCCATCAGCCAAATGCCCGCTGTCCACAAGGCTCCTTCCTTACCTTAATTACGACATTCAGAGTTGTCAGGTGGCTGTGTTGTTGCTGGGCAGCGATAATCCAGAAGGCAGCGGAGAAAGGACGCGCGCAGCAAAGTGAATAAACCCAAACCGAGGCGCTCTAACTACTCCTCCTGACACATCGCTGTCAGTTTGACAGCTAAACGCGCACCGGAGGAGTCTGCTGCGTATTATCTCTGGTAATCCTCCAACAGCGAGCCGCTGCTCCTGACTGGACGAGCCTCAGCGACGGGTCGGGTAACAGCGGAGCGTAATCTCACATTATGACTGTAATTTCACAGATTAAAGAATCTGGGGGGCCTGCGTTTATTTAAAAAAAAGAAAAAGAAAAAAGAAAAGAGGAGTTATAAAAAACAAACGCAGGAGTCGGTCGGACTTGCAATCAGAGCGACGTCATTGTGCACATGGACCCTCCTACTGCAACGAGAGCAACAGAAACTCCGAGGAGCGGAGTGGTGGGGGGGGGGGAGGGGCCCCTGGGGCGCAGGTAGACCGAGGAGGCTGGAAATAGGGCACCGCTCTGAGCGCGGAAACATCCCCTCCTTCATTACTGCTCTGATTTCACTTCAACTAACACCCCCCCACCCCCACACACACACACACATTCTGCTATCGTTTAGGTTTCTCCTGTCTATCTGCCCTCTGCTCTAAAACAGCCTGTTTTACTGAGGAGGTGAGAAGGAGAACTGGTACCAGCCAATTAGCAGCCAGTTTGTGCGACCCTTTAAATCCAGACACTGAACCCCTCAGCTCCTGCTTTACCACTAGGCGGAGCAACATTTCTGTTACACCTCAGCTGTTCCTTACGGAAGAGGTTTAGGGCCACTGAAAAAAATAAAAGAAAGTTAACTGATTTAAAAAAAAAATAATTACGGAATATGGTTATTAAGGGAGAGGATTAGGGCTACTGAAAATATTAAAAAAAAGTTAAATGATTTTTAAATTTTATTTCAGTTTAATATGTGGAAAAAAACTGAACTCTGAGATTAAAGTCAGAATTCTGACTTTTCCCCCCATATTAAACTGATTTTTTTTTAACAGTTAACCTTTTTTATTTTTTCAGTGGCCCTAATCCTCTTCTGTAGTTACTGAACACAGCTCATTATAACATTGAGTTTTACATTAAGAATTAAAAAAAGCCACAAAAGTGTCCTACTGCTGATTAAATAAGAAATTTAAATGAAATTATGACAAGTTTATTTAAAATATCTGTTTTTGATTAAGTCTGTTACAGTTTGTCAAAATGTAAAAAAAAAAAAAAAAAAATGTTAATCCCTTTATTGTCCCACAATGGGGAAATTCACTCTCTGCATTTAGCACGTCCCCTTGGGGAGCAGTGTGGGGTAAAGGGTCTTGCTCAGGGACCCAGAGTGCAGGCTGTGGGGATCGACCAGGTGCAACCTTCTCAGAGCACAAGCCCACTGCTCTAACCATTCGACCAATACTACTCCATTAGCTAGAGAAGGTTAAATTAAAAGTCTCCTATTTTGGTGGTGTTAATGTTAAGGTGTGTGCCCTCCCTAAGTGCAGATTAGTAAACAGTATTTTTCATGTTTCATGAGAACCCATGTTTCATGAGAACATGGGTTTTGCTCCAACCGTTCCAACACTAGGAGTTTAAACAGGGCTGGTGTTTTTATTCTGACTGAACATAGGGAAGGAAAATGGACCAGTTTACCAGCCACCAATTCATAAGCCCCATTTACACTATCCTCTAAAAACCATTCCGTGCCGAGTTGGATCAGCTAACCATGCCGAGCTTGGTTCCCTACGACCATTTACACCATGATAGCATGTTTACCCCCCTCCTAGTAACGATCTACGGTAGTATTGCTCTCTAGAGGTAAACAAGAAAACCAACATGGTAGGAAACAAAGACGGACGTTGAGGTTCATCACACTGCTAAGCAGAATTCTCACTGGAAATCATGTGGTACGCTAGGGAAGCTAGTATTTTTTATGAATGTCTGAAGTTTCATGATTACGGAGGCGGACTGTAAGGAGATGACACGGTCTGCTCAAGATCTCCTTGTTATCTGAGAACCGAGCCAGAACTGAACCGTGCCGAGCCCGACTGATGATCTAGTACCATGCCAGTGCAGTTTTGTTGTGTCTGGCGCGTTCCGGTTCAGTTGTTTACACTCCAAAGGTGTCTCGGTTACCGTGCTGGACCAATCTCAGCACCGTTTCATAAGGGTAGTGTAAATGGGGCTATAACTCACAGATCGGCGTTGTGTTACTTTGTGCTCAACATAGCAGGAAATTCTGCTCACTCCTCCAATACACGAGTTCTTTAAAGACAGTAACTCATAAAAAAAATAATAATAATTTAGAGCCTTCCTCCACTAATTGTTTCCTTTCCAGAATCATGGTAGTAGTTAAGCGTCACAGAAGTTGCAGGAAAATAAAAGGTAAATTTTAGACATTTAATTCAGGTGTTTGCCATTAACAAGTTCTAGTAAGTATTTGGAAACACCTTAGTAAGTTCCAGGAAGGTATCCTGTAGGCTTTGGAGGGTCACATGTGAGTTTAGGAACTTTTACAGTGGAAATAAGCTCCACAAAATAACATTTAACTCTTCTGCATAGTACAGGCTGTTTTTTTAACGCACCTATGATCAGAATGAACCACAGAGTCAATGCAGATATCAGATAAAGCACAATGTAACAGAGCCTCTGTTGTAGATTCATTGACCCAACTTCAGGTCAAGAAAGTGTTTGAAGCCACTTTAATGAGTTAGCTTTGTAAATGGGAGATAAAATAGGGAGCTCAATTTGGAACTGAAACTAAAAGACAATTTAAAAGAAAAAATATATATAAATTATACATTTTAAACAATAAAAAGAAAAAAGATTTCCAACTGAAAACAATGATAATCGTTTTATAGGGGTAGTTTTTTGTTCCAAGCCACTGCCCCCTTTGTTTGGGGGCGGGGCTTAGATAACATGAGGTATGTATTCATGACAGTTGAGATACCTGGAAAAAATATTTCCACCTCTTCCATCTAGGAACTGTGGGAAATGGATATTTCTTTAAACTTTCATTAATATGTTTATGTGACTTACGGGTGTGTGCTGTCTTTGTTTTCTTTCTTTTTTTTTCCAGCTAAATGTGTTTTTCTAACAAGCTTTTGGTAACATACATCTGACATGCCAGTTTAAATAGCTTCTTTGCAAAGTTATTTATAAAGTTATTTGTAAAGTGTGGACACAGAGCTGGTTTAATCATGTGTGTTTAGGAGCCTTATTATGCCTCAGTGATTTCTGTTCAAAATTAATTTGCTTTAAAAAGTAAAGAGTTTTGTTCCTAAACTAGTTGAAGAAAAGAATAACTTCAGTGAAATATATCCCAGTGACATAAACCCAGACTAGAAAACAACCTTAATGGAACTTAAAAGAAAGTCCACCAGTGTTTGTTAACCGATTAAAGTTATATTTTGCCCACTTTGATCAAATCTAATCTGGAATAGTTGAGATAACCTTTAGTGCCTCAGCTGAGATGAGATCAATGAAGCTATCAAACGTAAGGAGGACTTGTGCACTAATGTAAGAAGGGCCTGTGGTTTTAAACGTACTCTGAAGTGCATCTGACTGAGTCATCCTAACATTTCACCGCCTGCATGTCGCTGCCCTGCTAGAGGTGCAGGTTTGGTTTCACTCCAGTGACGGCCAATAGCTGCCTTAATCTCTGGAGTTGTCAGTCACATTCTGTGCTGTTTCATATGACTGCATCAGGGCCTGCTGGTTGGATTTCTATAGATTGGTTTCCACATTCCTCTCCACTATCTGGATTCTTTACATCAACCTTTAGCAAGACGCAGCAGTTAGACTAGATAAAGATAAGCAACCCTGTCGGTCTGCCTGTAAATCATCCATGAATGGGATCCTTCCTTGGAAAAAGCAAAAATAATTAAGTTAGAATGGATGTTTCTCATACATTTTTCTCGCTTAAAGAAAATTTCTCAAATTTTTTTTTCATGTTTTAGACCAACACATTTTATTATCAAAGATGAAGTGCGCAAATGCATACATTAATTCTATGATGATTTAAGTCTCTTGTGCTGATCAGAGGTGTCACATAAGAAGTATAAACACTTTGTTACATTACTTAAGTAGAAATTTCTGCTATCTATACTTTACCTGAGTAATTATTTTTAGACAACTCTTTAATTCTACTCCTTACATTTTTCTTTTGCAATTATCTCCACCTTCTTCTCCTTACATTTCATAAATAGACCCATTGGTTTGGTTTTATTTAAGCTCATTTTCATTATGGCCTGTTGGTATTAAGAAAATGAAAAACTACCAGAATAATTTGTTACGTCCAGATAATTAATGTCTTTGTAGTTGGACTCTGTACTGCTCCAACTTGTTCGCCATATATCAAAATAAATAGTTTTTAAGATGATGCAGAGTTAAATTTAAAGTTATAAAACTAAGAAAATGAAGTATAAGGAAGTTGTCATCAAGTTATCATCATCCAGAATTGTAGAACATTTTTCCTTCAATAGTGTAGTGCAGGAACCGGTATAAAGTTTAAAGCGTTTGTCCTTAAAAAATTTCCTGCGTTCCTTTTACTTTTATACTTTTACTAGTTTTAAAAATGGTACTTTGCACTTTTACTTGAGTAAAAATCTTGTTGACGCTTTAACTGGTGAATAAAAACAACTCTGCTCATTTTATCCTTTCTGTGTTTAAATGAGGACCTCCATGGATCAAAAATATTACAAAGGATATATAAGTAACTATGAGTCTTTACGAATCACAAATGGCAATTTTTTATTTATTAGGAAAAATGCAACATATTTAGGCCAACTGTAGGTGTGGATCCCTTCAAGGCAGAGCCTCCAAAGGTTAATGGTCGGTCACTGATTGATCAGCAGCTGCCCCTTTTAAGCTCTAGCATCTGAATTGATCAGATGGATGTATGGTGACGCAATCTGCTGAGAGGGAGCAAATGAGAAACCACGCAAACAACTAGGAACCCTGACAGGTCAGAGGAAAGGGAAGCTAACATCTCTGCAGACCCCACACATCCTGGACACACACTGTTTAGACTCTTGTCTTTAAACCAATTGACAGAGAGAAAGTGTGTGTAATGACCAGAAAACGGAAGACCCAGAAATCAAGAGACATTTAAACAGTTTCTTGAAATGTGAGACTGCCACAGGTCAGAATGGATTCACCAGAGTCACAAACTCACTAGTCTTTTTGGTGTATGAGAAAGTTTCTGAAGATGACGGTTGGCGTGTGGCATCGCTGGTGAACCTGAATCCATCCAGGCTGATTTGGAAGAATCATTCTTTAGCAGTTAATTGTTGGTCCAGGGGAATGCTAAGGAGCAGATCCATGAGAGCAGAAACAGGTAGAATGATCAAGAATGATCAAGGTGACAAACCAGAGTACAGAATCTGAGATCCTGTCCAGAGTTAGAGCCAGGTGATCGGAAACCCAGAGACAATCCAGGGGAGGACCAGGGAGTGAGGTCAGGGCACAGAAAACAAGTCAAAAATCCAAAAGCACACTATGACAGGTCTGATAGCGTTCAGGCAGGCTCAGAGAATCAGGAGGCAGAATCAGGTCAGTATC